AAATGAGTATGGAGTGAAACTAGGTAACTATGCACGGTTGAGTCATTGTTTCAGAAATATTTCCTTACTTTTGGGAATCAGGCAAGGGGCATTAGAAATCCTTCCTTCCTTCCTTCCTTCCTTCCTTCCTTCCTTCCTTCCTTCCTTCCTTCCTTCCTTCCTTCCTTCCTTCCTTCCTACCTACCTACCTACCTACCTACCTACCTACCTACCTACCATACGCTCCCCTACTCTTCCAAGGAGTTACAGCTAAGTGGCTGCTGTGGGATAAGGGGAAGGGAGCAAGGGATTGTAAAACTGCCTGGAAAACTGTCACAGGACATTGAAAATGAAAATGACATCCAGCCCAGCAGTCAGCAGCAGCCAGAAGCACTGAAGTAGCCACAAGCTCCCCAAATTTCATTAGTCCTGGATTTTGGACACATTCTGTAAGTTAGCTCATTTGGGTTACATTGCTTCAAAAACTGTTGTCATATGATGCACCATTTTGCTTAGTTAGTGGTCATAACAATTAACGTCTATGCAGATTCTCAATCATCCAGGTCATGGTTGTCCCAAAGATGCTTTCCCAAAAGGCAACTGAACTTTGTTTTCCCTTGAAGACATTTCGATTCTCATTCAAGCAGCTTTTTTCCATTCTGACTCAATGGTGGAGCCATTCAGTCATAACTGAAGAAGCTTCTTGGATGAAAAGTGAAACATCTTGGGGAGGGGGTAGTTTATTAGTTTATTATTATTATTTATTAGTTTGATTTATATGCCGCCCTTCTCCGGAGACACAGGGTGGCTTACAATGTGTTAAGCAATAGCCTTCATACTTTTGTATATTTTATACAAAGTCAGCTTATTGCCCCCACAAACCGGGTCCTCATTTTACCTACCTTAGGAAGGATGGAAGGCTGAGTCAACCTTGAGCCTTGGCGAGAATTGAACTCGCAGTAATTGCAGGCAGCTGGCAGCTAAGTGCTACTTTAACAGTAGTTTAGTCCACTGCACCACCAGGCTCCTTAGTTGGACTAGTCCTCTAGTTGGACTAGATGACCTACGAGGTCCCTTCCAACTCTGTTAATCTGTTAATCTGCCTATCTTCAAGGAAAACCAGAAAGTCCAGATGCCTTTTGAAAAAGCCCCTTTGGGTCAATAAAACAAGAATTTTAGTAACATATAGATGTCCCAAAAGTGCTTTTTCAAGAGGCAACTGGACTTTCTGGTTTTTCTTTGAAGACGTTTCACTTCTCATCCAAGGAGCTTCTTCAGCTCTGACTGGATGGTGGGGAATGGAAGGATTTATATTTCTTGCAGACAGCTGGTCATTTGCATTCTTTTAGTGAGTCGTTAAGCCCGCCTGGAGGTTTATCTGTGTCCTCAGGGTCACCTGAGTAATGCAAATGTGTGTGGAGCTTTCTTGGCTGCAGCCAATTGGTTCAACCTCCAAGTGGCCTCAAGAACTCTATAAAAGAATGGAAATGAACAGCTGTCTGCAAGGAGTATAAATCCTTCCATTCCCTACCATTAGAAATTCTTGGTTCTTATTATATTTTCTCTACAGTTGAGATCGGGCCTCAATAGAATAATGTAGCATTTTGGGAAAAAGATACAAGCCAAGAGAGCAGCTCCTGAGGCCAAAATGGAGAAGATCTCCACGGCCACCATGGACTTCCCTTTGGTGCTCAGATAAGTAGGGAGGAAAGTGATCCAAACACAGCAAAAGACCAGCATGCTGAAAGTAATGAACTTGGCTTCATTAAAGCTGTCAGGCAATTTCCTCACCAGAAATGCCACTGTGAAACTGACAAGGGCCAAAAAATCCAGATAGGCAAGGACAATGTAAAACATGAAAGCTAAGCTTTCTGGTTTTTTCTTTTGAAGACGTTTCGCTTCTCATCCGAGAAGCTTCTTCAGCTCTGACTGGTTGGTGGGGAACGGAAGGATTGATACTCCTTGCAGACAGCTGGTCATTTGCATTTTTTTTAGAGAGCCATTGAGGCCACTTGGAGGTTTATCTGTGTTCTCGGGGTCACCTGAGTAATGCAAATATGTGTGGAGCTTTCTTGGCTGCAGCCAATTGGTTCAACCTCCTCAAGAAGGCCTCAAGAACTCGCTAAGTCCCCGCAAGAACTCGGGGTCACCTGAGTGGTGCAAATGGATGTGGAGCCTCTTGGAACTGTGGAAAGGACTCTGTTGTAGACTGGAGATGTCATATCCTTCCCCCACTGTCGAGAGAGGGTTATTCAATTTTGACATAGATGGCCTCTTTGACCCCTCTTTCAAACCAGGGGTCCTCAGTCGGAGCTGAAGAAGCAAAAATGTCTTCAAAGAAAAACCAGAAACCTTTGAAGAAAAACTTCAAAGAAAAAGTTCAGTTACCTCTTGAAAAAAGCACCTTTAGGACACCCATGACCTCGATGACTGAGAATCTCTATAACATACAGATGTTTTGCATCTAAAAACACAATGGAACTAGCACCCTTATTTTATTTTTACTTCTTCTCTTCCTTTGATTGATTGTGCAGTTTTAAAATTAACCACCTGAATCACATTAGTGAGATGGGCAGCCACTTCAATTAACTGAAAGACATAAATGCGGGTGAGGCATCGAAAGGAGGTAATGGTCTCCCTTCTTGAATCTGAACGGGGCTTCCTGGCCAGCTGGACTGCATCTCTTCTGCCCGAGACAACTTACCTTCTGTCTGTCATCAAAGGGCAGCGAGATGACCAAGAAGCAATAGAAGGAGAACTGCATGAGGTAGTAGCCAATAAGGCTCGGCTGGAGAGGCTGCAATGCAAAAGGAGAAGGGTGGAAGGAAGGAAGGGAAATGATGTCACGTCAACTGTCAACTTCCAAAGCAAAAATAAAGTCATAGAATGGTGTTTGTCAAACTCAGCAGTTGTCCTGGAATGTGTGAATGACTTTAGGCAAAGAAGGGGAGAGATGTTAACTGGGAAACAACCAGATAAGAGAGACAAGAGCTGCTTAACATTCAGGGAAAGAAACTTGGGAGACTCTGTCTGTCTGTCTGTCTGTCTGTCTGTCTGTCTGTCTGTCTGTCTGTCTATCATCTATCTATCTATCTATCCATCCATCCATCCATCCATCCATCATCTATCTATCTATCTATCTATCTATCTATCTATCCATCTAATTATCCATCCATCATCTATCTATCTATCTATCTATCTATCTATCTATCTATCTATCTATCTATCTATCTATCTATCCATCCATCCATCCATCCATCCATCCATCCATCCATCTATCCATCCATCCATCATCTATCTATCTATCTATCTATCCATCCATCCATCATCCATCCATCCTATCTATCTATCTATCTATCTATCTATCTATCTATCCATCCATCATCTATCTATCTATCTATCTATCTATCTATCCATCCATCATTTATCTATCTATCTATCTATCTATCTATCTATCTATCTATCTATCCATCCATCATCTATCTATCTATCTATCTATCTATCTATCTATCTATCTATCTATCTATCTACCTACCTACCTACCTACCTATCTATCAATCAATCTATCTATCTATCTATCCATCCATCATCTATCTATCATCTATCTATCTATCCATCCATCCATCCATCATCTATCCATCCATCATCTATCTATCTATCTATCTATCTATCTATCTATCTATCTATCCATCCATCATCTATCCATCCATCCATCCATCCATCCATCCATCCATCCATCCATCTATCTATCTATCTATCTATCTATCTATCTATCTATCTATCTATCTATCTATCTCTAATCTTAAGAGCTCTGATGGCGTAGTGCTTAGAATGCAGTATTGCAGGCTGACTCTGCTGACTGCCAGCAGTTCGATCCTGACTGGCTCAAGATTGACTCAACCTTCCATCCTTCTGAGACCCAGATTGTTGGGGGCCACATGCTGACTCTGCAAACCGCTTAGAGAGGGCTGTAAAGTGATATATAAGTCTGAGTGTTATTGCTATTTGCTACACATCCAATGTGGCCAAGGAGTTTGAAAAATATTTCTCCGCTAAGAGAGGTCTGAAAGAAAGATTAGGAAAATTCCAAACCTGGAATACAAAGACTTTTGTGGGGTCCTTGCAGATATTTTATTACCCAAACTAGGTAACATCATCAGTGCTAGAAGAGAGGAAGAGGAGGGGAGGAGGAGGAGGAGGAGGAGGAGGAGGAGGAGGAGGAGGAGGAGGAGGAGGAGGAGGAGGATTATTGTGAGGTCCTTGGTGCTCTCTGAGCTTGGTTGTTTTTTTGCAGACATGTCATTACCCAAATTAGGTAATATCATCAGTGCTAAAAGGGAGGAAGAGTGGGGGGAGAGAGAAGAGGACAAGGAGAGAGAAAGGGTGGACGAGGAGGAGAGTGGAAGGAGGAGGAGGAGAAGAAGAAGGAGAGAGGGGGGAGAGGAGGAAAAGGAGTGGAGGAGGAGGGAGCAAGAGAGATGGGAGAGGAGGAGGAGAAGGAAAAGGAAGAGGCTTGGATGAATGGGATGCTTAAGGCAGGGCAGGATGTAGAGCAGTTTCATATTTACACCTCTCCTGCGCGACTTGAATTGGTTGCCAGTTGCCCTCCGGGTGAGATTCAAGGTGCTGGTGTTAACCTATAAAGCCCTTCATGGTTTAGGCCCAGAATATCTGTCGGACCACCTGCAACCAGCATCTATTTCCCATTGCCCGGTGCGTTCCCACAGAGAGGGCCTACTCAGGGTGCCGTCGGCTAGACAATGTTGGCTGGCAACCCCCAGGGGTAGAGCCTTCTCTGTGGCCGCGCCCACCCTTTGGAATCAACTTCCCCGGGGCTTCGGTTGGCCCCCGACCTTCGTACCTTCTGCCCTGAGCTTAAGACCTGGCTGTTTAAACGCCCTAGCCAGGACTGATGGGGTCTACTGTTTTAAATTGGTTTTTAGTCTGTTTTAGTCTGTTTTAATTTGTATTTATTGGGATTGTTTCGTTTGATGTAAGCGGCCCTGAGTCCTTCGGAGAGAGGGCAGCATATAAATCCAATAAATAAATAAATAAATAAATAATAATAATAATAATAATAATAATAATAATAATAATAATAATAATAATAATAATAATAATAATATCATTTATGAGAAAGGGGATGCTGATTGATTAACTCTTTTGAGTTGAAATGTTCATTCAAATGTCTCCTGACTCCTTACCTGCTTGGGGTACCCAACCCAACATTCGCGGATATCCCAGAACCAGGGTTTCTGCAAGAAGACACCACTCATTAGGAATCACATCACACAAGACCGCCAACACTTCTCTGGAGCTGCCTTAGAAGGGGACGATGGAAGGGAAAGGAGACCCCAAAGCAACTGTGGTCACTTAAGATGTTTGAATGAGGCTGAAAAATTGACACTTTCTTTCCTGCACTCCCAACTTTTAATAATCAACTAGGGAAGCATTAAATGCCAGAGGCCAAGAGACAAAGAAGACACACAGCTGCATTACACACGGCAAACTGTCTTTCGATAACAGCCAACTAAAATGAGGAAAGAGTTGGAACTCACATTGTAAAGGATGACCAGCCCCATGAAGAAGGAAAGAAAATAGTAGATTGTTCCCAAGCTGGAAAACAATTAGAAAAAAATATGAGGACACATTGAACAGCAGACGTGGAAATCCAGAGCTTCTAAAGCTGGAGGGGTATACAAAGATCATCTAGTCCACCTCACAGAAGTGCAAGACATCCACTACTCCAACAGCCCTCACTTCCACCTTCTGAAACAGTGAAAAACTTTTCCACAGTGTTGTGTTTCTTCTACTTCAGATTCTTTGGTCCAGATTCCGATCTCTGGAACTATTGAATAGATTGTCAACGTCCTGACTGACGATCCCAACTAAAGCAAGCACACTCGAGATCTGCCAATGTCTCAATGCAAAACTTTATTGAGTACATCATTTCGGCACTATTGAAGGCAAAACCAGCTCTACTTAATTCCCGCGCAAACCCACATAGTTACAACATAGAATTCCCCCTCCCTCCTATTAGTGCAGGTCACATTGTCCAATTGTGTGTCATTGCATTGTTATGAGAAAAAATCTCTGGTTTTGGCCAACACCTGCAGATGTGCCCTTGGCTCTCACGGCTCTCCTCCTTGAAGTCTGGAGCCTCCATTCCTTCTTACCCTTCCCTCCCCCCTTGTCCTTTGCCATGCTGAGAAGTAATAATGTTTGCAACAGCAGAAGCGGGCTTCGAGCTTGACATAGATCCCTTCTCTTTCCTGAATGTATTATGTAAATACAGAAAATACAGGTAGTCCTTGACCTACAACAGTTCATTTAGTGACCATTTGAAGTTACAAGAGCACTGAAAAAGTGTTCAGCAGAGTGATGGCACAGTAGGGGGAAAAACTATCTTTGTATCTAGTAGTTTTGGCATTTTAGATATGCCCTTTTTAAATCATTCACAATCAGGGTGGATAAAAATGATGATTAAAAAAAAATAAATTGGGTTTTTTAAAATTTAAATTGGATCTTTTTGATTTTTATCAAATTTATTTTAACAAAAGGCTTTTGGAGTAAAAATCTATCTAAGGATAGATTTCTATTTAAGATACACTAATAATTTAGTTTATTCAGCATGAAATGGAGCTTAGTTATGTAGCATGAGGCTGTATATTCTGCAATATTGGGACTGTTGATGAGTCAACAGCAGGTCAGAGGAGAAGCCGCTGTGGGACAGAGATGACAGATGCTTTTTAAAAATTATGATTTAAATCGAGTTGATTTAAATCAAGCCTTTTTACTAGTGATTCCAATCATGATTCCAATCGTGATTTCAATCGACTTGATTTAAATCAAATCCACCCTGTTCACAATCATCTTGGAAAGTTGGACAGGACAGAAATCCCACTCGCCACTGAAAGATCCACCAAAGCCAAGGAGCTGCACATTGACTATGAGCTGCGGTGGCGCAGTGGTTAGATGCAGTACTGCAGGCGACTTCTGCTGACTGCCGGCTGCCTGCAATTTGGCAGTTCGAATCTCACCAGGCTCAAGGTTGACTCAGCCTTCCGAGGTAGATAAAATGAGGACCCAGATTGTTGGGGGCAAGAGGCTGACTCTGTAAACCGCTTAGAGAGGGCTGGGAAGCACTGGGAAGCGATATATAAGTCTAAGTGCTACTGCTGTTGCTATATGGCCCCAAGAGTTTCTGCTCACCTGGCTTCACAGAATTCCTTGGTCAAACTGGGCCGGTCTTGATTTAGCCGGTATCGGAACCACCTTTCTACTTGCCTCGGTTGGAGGTCGCACTGCTTGGCTAAGCTGTTGACTTCTTCCTGGAAAACAGGACATACGTTAGGTGAAGAGAAAAGATACACAGCCAAGCATGAGAGCATCTTACTTGGAAAAGCAACAAGCCCTAGTCTGCTTAATATATAAATAGAATAGAATAACAGAGTTGGAGGGGACCTCGGAGGTCTTCTAGTCCAACCCACTGCCAAGGCAAGAAACTCTACACCACCTCAGACAAATGGTTATCCAACATCTTCTTAAAAACCTCCAGTGTTGGAGCATTCACAACTTCTCCAGGCAAGTTGTCCCACTTATTAATTGTTCTAACTGTCAGGAAATTTCTCCTTAGTTCTAAGTTGCTTCTTTCCTTGATTAGTTTCCACCCATTGCTTCTTGTCCTGCCCTCAGGGGCTTTGACTCCCTCTTCTTTGTGGCAGCCCCTGAGATATTGGAAGACTGCTATCATATCTCCCCTAGTCCTTCTCTTCATTAAACTAGACATACCGAGTTCCTGCAACTGTTCTTCATATGTTTTAGCCTCCAGTCCCCTAATCATCTTTGTTGCTCTTCTCTGCACTCTTTCTAGAGTCTCCACAACTTTTTTACATTGTGGTGATCAAAACTGGGTGCAGTCTTCCAAGTGTGGCTTTACCAAGGCTTTATAAAGTGGTATTAACACTTCACGTGATCTTGATTCTGTCCCTCTGTTGATGTTGCCCAGAACTGTGTTGGCTTTTTTGGCAGCTGCTGCACACTGCTGGCTCATATTTAAATGGTTGTCCACTAGGACTCCAAGATCCCTCTCACAGTTACTACTATTGAGCAAGGTACCACTTATACGGTACCTGTGCATTTTGTTTTTCTTGCCTAAATGTAGAACCTTACTTTTTTCACCATTGAATTTCATTTTGTTAGATAGTGCCCAGTGTTCAATCTATCAAGATCCTTCTGTATCCTTATTAAATAAATAAGGCCAATGAATATCAGGCATTTTCTCCAAGGCCAGAGTTTCAGCCACCTTTAGCCATATCTTCCAATACCTGGAAGAAACTTACCTGTTGAGGATTTTTTCTCCATTTCCTGTAAAAAGCTTCCAGGATGGGGTTTGGAGAAGGTTTCCGCCTCACCTTTTCTTGCAGTCTTAGTTTTTTGCTCAAGGGGATGCTGATCTTCCTGGCAAAGGGAACAGGTTGGGTCAGACGAACGAACATCGGTTAAATTTAACCAATTTTTGGCTTCCTTGTTTCATGCTCTGCTCAAGAACAGGAACATGAAACCCAAGAGAAAGAAAACAAAGCCGCCAGAAGGCAGGACAAGAAACAATGGATGGAAACTGATCAAGGAGAGAAGCAACCTGGAATTAAGGAGAAACTTCCTAACAGTGAGGACAATTAACCAGTGGAACTGCTCGCCTCCAGAAATTGTGGGTGCTCCATCACTGGAGGTTTTTAAGAAGAGACTGGACAGTCACTTGTCTGGAATGGGATAGGACAGTGATGGCAAACCTTTTTGGCATTGAGTGCCAAAAGTCTGAGCGCGCTCCCGCTATTGCGCTCGCGCGTGCCAGCACCCACAATGCAACACGCACCTCATTTGCGCATGCGCTCATGACCCCCTCCCCCCACATGTGCACATGACCCTACCCACACATGCACGCTGCGCATGCGTGCGCTCCCACTTTTTCCAAGGGAGCCGGCACGCCTCTTACCGAAGGACAACCAGATACCAAACTGTTCCCTGGCAAGACAGCCATTCCCTGGCTGGCGCCCAGCACTCTCGTCTCCGCCATGTGCCAGCTGGGGAAGCTCCGAACACGCGCCCTTCCTTGGGCTCCTCCCCACTGGGTGCTGGGCTTCCCAGCAAGCCCCCTGCAGCAACGCAAGAACCGCCACTCCCAGGAGCAAGGGGGTGGTGGCTGTAAGGATGGACGAGCCGGGACTGACTTCCCTGTTTCCCCGCATGAGCAGGCTTCTGGCATGGCCCCAGGCCTGGGGAGGGGGGCAATTGAAGCCCCAGCACACCCATCCTTTCCACTGCCACCCCATTGCCGCTGGCGCTTCTCATGCTACCTCTTTCCACTCAGTGGCAGGAGCAGCCAGCAGCAGGCTTCAATCCCTTCCCCAGAGGCCTGAAATGCAATGCACGTTTTTGGCCTCCCCATTTTTGGATTTGGAGAGGAAAGGGTTTTCGGGCAGCAGCGCTGCGATCCTCTCCCCGAATCAAAAAAAGTGCATTGCGCTTCAGGCGGAGGATCTGGCCAGGAGGAAAGAGAAGGCGAGTCTGCGGAGTAGGAGGAGAAGGGCACATGGCCAGCCGCCCGCTCCGTTTTTGGATTGGCCAGAAAACGCTTTCCTCTGTGGTTCTCCGGTGCACATTGCAGAACTGCGCGCCTTCCTCCTCCTCCTCCGCAGAAGGCCAGATCCACCGCCTGAAACGCACTGCACTTTTTTGTTTCCGTGAGGGGATCTCAGCACTGCCGCCCGAAAACCCTTTCCTCTCCAAATCCAAAAACCGGCGGCTCCTCCTCCTCCCCCTGCGAGCCTCATCGTAAACCTTGAAGTTTCCCTTGCGGGGCGGGGGGGGAAAGAGAAAAACTCCTGTTTGGGGAGGAATAGATCCTCCTCCCTCCCTGCCAGCTTCTTCCTAAAACTTGAAGTTTCCCTTGCAGGGTAGGGGGTGGGGGAGAAAAACTCCTGCTTGGGGAGGAATCCTCTTTGCAGAGGCAACAGTGGCAGATCCTCCTCCCTCCCTGCCAGCTTCTTCCTAAAACTTGAAGTTTGCCTCATCCTGCTGCCAGCCTCATCGTAAATCTCGGGGTTTGCCTTACTGAGCCAGGCTAAGATTCGATATTGGGATAAAACTCAAATATTAGAAATCCAAATCTTTGGTCAAGACAGAAGTGCCTCTTCTGTGCCAAGGTGCTGAGATGACAAACGGTATTTGACGTAGGTACAGAATTGTAAAAGGGGCAAACTGACCCTAAACAGATACATCCTGTTGTTTAATGTTTATTACACCCCAAATGTCATGTAGATTCTAGAGAAGAAATACTGCTTCCCTTACTGTCCTCTTTACTGCTCATGAGGCGCCTTTGTGCCCCTTATCTCCTTTTATTATGTCTTGAGCTCTGGAGCTGAGAACCTGAGCCTGTGGGAAAAGGGCTGTTATGTTTTTCCTAGAGATAGATTAAAGGGTAACTTCTACGTGTGAAATGTCGCACTCTTCGTAATAACTTTGCCTTTATACTGTATAAATATCTGGTCAAAATCAGCCATCTTTGTTCAGACCCTTCGCTGTCTTTGGACTGTTTGAACCTTGCGCAATAAACTCTTTCCTGCATTGAAGAGCTTGACCTAGTCGGTCATTTTTCCTATAACATTACGGGGGGGAGAAATGTTCTGGGGGAGGGACGTCCGTGGTGCCAGTGACTGCAGCCACAATCTGGAGAAGCCCTGTTGGAACCGGTCAGGCAATTTCTCTGGTGGCGGGGCGCAGAGCTTGCCTACATAACTTTGCCGGCAAAGAGCCAGCGGCAGAGGGCCGTTTGTGCCGGCAAAGAGGCAGTGGCGCAGGCAAAATTATATAGGGAAGCCCCATACCCTAGCTCTGTGGGTCTGCAGAGCTGAGCGTCTGGCATCCTGCTTCTCTTGCTCTGGCCACCACCTTGCACACGGCTGATTGGCTCTCCAAAGGGGCTTTTCCGGAGCGTGGCTGCAGTCACTGGCACCACAGATGTCCCTCCCACCAGGACCTTTCTCCCGCCCCTCCCCCCCAGTAAGGCAAATCCTGAGATTTACAGCGAGGCTGGGGCGGGGGGGGAGGAGGAGTTGCTGCTGCATCTATAAAGAGGAGTTGCCCCCAACCAGGACCTTTCTTTTCCCCCCCCAAGGCAAACCCCAAAATTAACAGCGAAGCTGGCAGGGGGAGGGGGAGGAGCCGCTGCCTCTGCAAAGAGCATTCCCCTCTTTCTCCTCCCCCCCACCCCCATAAGGCAAACCTCGAGCAGAGGCAGCGCTGGTTTGCCTGCAACGTGGATCCCAGGAAGCGGCTGTCAATGGCATGGCCGGTGCGCATGCGTGAGCCAGAAATCCGGAAGAGGACTTGGCACCACTGTGCGTGCCAGGCAACATGGCTCCGCGTGCCACCTGTGGCACGCATGCCATAGGTTCGCCATCACGGGTATAGGATCTCCTGCTTGAGCAGGGGGCTGGACTAGAAGACCTCCAAGGTCCCTTCCAGCTCTATTCTGATTGATTGATTGATTTTGATCCTAATCTCTCTTTTTTTAAAAAAAAAAATTAATGGAATTTAACAAAGTACTAACAACAGTGGTGAAATGTAAAATTTGTTACTACCGGTTCTGTGGGCATGGCTTGGTGGTGGTGGCGGGGTAATGTGACTGGGTGGGTTGTAGAAAAAATGCTTTTAAAAGGCTCTGATGATCCCAGCTGAGTTGCCTGATCATCAGAGGCTTTTGTTTTCTTTTAAAGGCATTTTTTTTTGCTTTTAAAAGAAAAAAAAAAGCCTCTGACAATCAGGCAACTCAGCTGGGATCGACAGAGCCTTTTAAAAGCATTTTTTCTACAACCTATTCGGCCAAAGAGGTTGTAGAAAATATGCATTTAAAAGGCTCTGATGATCCCAGCTGAGTTGCCTGATCGTCAGAGGCTTTTTTTTTTTCTTTTAAAAGTATCTTTTCGGCTGAAGAAAAAATGCTTTTAAAAGTAAAAAAAAAAAAAAGCCTCTGATGATCACTGGGCTCAGCTGGGCATGGGAGGGGAGGGGGGCAAAGAGTTTTGCTACCGGTTCTCCGAACCACCCACTGCCATCGCTACCGGATCAGGTGATCCAGTCCGAACCGGGAGCATTTCACCCCTGCCTAACAATGATTATACAGGTAGTCCTCAACCACCATTGGGCCAAGATTTCCTGTGGCTAAAAGCAAGGCCCCTGAGATATTGGAACACTGCTATCATGTCACCCCTGGTCCTTCTTTTCATCAAACTAGACATACTCAATTCCAGCCACCGTTCTTCATATGTTTTAGCCTCCAGTCCCCTAATCATCTTTGTTGCTCTTCTCTGTACTCTTTCTACAGTCTCAACATCTTTTTTAAGAAGATGTTTAAAGAAAGGAAATCCCACTGTTTCAAGCTTTTCAGTGCATAGGAAAGGAAAGCTTTCTCCAAACAATTGGGGTTTTGCCTCCTCCTGCTCTGAGTTGGTTTTGTCTGGCCAAGAGCTTGCCTTTCGAAGAAGAACCGGAGGGCGACCATCAGGAGAGAGATGGGGAGGCCGAGCAGGAGGTGATGGGGTTGGGGATAGTGGGCATCCTCTGTCTCCTGCATGTCCTCCCAGGTTAATCCTGGAGGTAGCCAGTATTCATGTCTCCAAATCCACTGCTTGAGCTGAGCCATCATGCTGGGAAGAGAGAAGAAAGGCAGGAAGTGAGATGGGGAACTGCAAGAGTGATTCTGGAAGGAAGGTCCCCTCTCAGACCTAACACGACTCCATCTTCTCCCCTCCTGGCACCTCCTCAAGGGAGGCCATGTCAGGGAACAGACAACTCAATAACAGAGTTGGAAGGGACCTTGTAGGTCATCCAGTCCAACCCCCCACCCCAAGCAGGAGACCCTACACCATTTTGGACAGAAGGCAGTCTAGTCTCTTCTTGAAACCTTTCAGTGATGAAGCTCCCACAACTTCCAAAGGTGACTTCTGTTGCATCAGTTGATTGTTCTCACTGTCGGAAAATTTCTCCTTATTTCTAGGTTGAATCTTTCCTTGGTCAGTTTCCATACATTATTCTTTGTCTGGCCTTCAGTTGTCCTGGAAAATAGCTTGACCCCATCCTCTCTGTGGCAGCCCCTCAAATATTGGAAGACTGCTACCATGTCTCCCCTGGTCCTTCTCTTCACTAGACTAGCCAGGCCCTGTTCCTACAACATTCATCAGATGTTTTAGTCTCCAGTCCCCTAATCCTCCTGGTTGCTCTTCTCTGCACTTTTTCTAAAGTCTCAACATCTTTTTTAATAATATGGCGACCAAAACTGGATGCAGTATTCCAAATGAGGCTTTAGCAAGGCATTGATAAGGTATTAACACTTCACGTTAATGTTCTTACACAGCTCTAGTTGTGGGAGATTAGTTACTACCTGGTAAAAGAGCATTTTGTTAGTGTGGGTTGTTTTTTGATGGTCTACCTGTGAGGTGTCATCTACATGCTGAGTTCATACTTTTGGTTATATATATATATATATATTGGAGTGCCATAGTTTTTAGATGCTGTATTACAGTCTCTGCTATGAGTTCCGAAAAAGATGAACCCATGTGTGTTCTTCAACAATTTGTCATCTACATGCTGGAGCTGTACTTGCAGTTGTTATGTGTGAGAGTGCAATAGAATTTTTTTTTTTAAAGAGTTGGAAGGGACCTTGGAGATCTTCTAGTCCAACCCCTCTGCTCGAGCAGGAGACTCTATAGCATTTCAGACAAATGGTTGCCCAATCTCTTTTTGAAAGCCTCTAGCAATGGAGCACCCACAACTTCTGAAGGCAAGGTATTCCATTGGTTGATTGAATCCCTCTGTTAATGCAATTTAGGATTGCATTGGCTTTTTTGGCTGCTGGTTCATATTTATTTGTTTGTTTGTTTGTTTGTCATATTTCTATGCTGCCCACTCTCCGAGGACTCTGGGTGGCTTACACCAAAGACAGTATACTAAATAGCATATTGCCCCCTAACAATCTGGGTCCTCATTTTAGCCACCTCAGAAGGATGGAAGGCTGAGTCAACCTTGAGCCGGTGAGATTTGATCCGCTGATCTGCGGAACTAGCAGTCAGCTGAAGTAGCTGCAGTACTGCACTCTAACCACTGCGCCACCTTGGCTCTTATAACCTATAGTACTAACAAGGACAGAAAGAATCAAGAGCTGACTTGGTTACTACTGATATGCACTTTGTGTTGGCCCAAATCTCAACAAATCTGAAAATCTCAAGATCGTTTTATCTGGGCTAAGCCCAGGAAGGCATGCCAATGGAATATAAACTTAAAGGAAAAGGACTCCTTTTTCCTCACTCCAGAGGACTCACTCCAGAGACGCTACTGCAAATACCTCCGCCAGTCCAAAGACAGGGAAGGAAGGAGGGAGAGAGGGAAGGGTTAGAGGATCAACCTGTTCTCCAGAGCACCTGAAGGCAAGGCAAGAAATAATGGATGGAAATCAATCAAGGAGAGAAGCAACCTGGAATTAAGGAGAAACTTCCTAACTTCGCAATTAACTAGTGAAACTTCAGAAGCTCTGGGTGTTTCATCACTGGAGGCTTTTAAGAAGAGATTGGACAGCCACTTGTCTGGAATGGTATAAGGGGGTTGGGCTAGAACCCCCTAGAAAGCCCTACTAAGCAGGTATATACAAAAGAATGAAGGCTATTGCTATAAGTGCATTGTAAGCCGCCCTGAGTCTTCGGAGAAGGGGGCATATAAATTGAACAATAAATAAATAAATGAATGAATGAATGAATGAATGAATGAATGAATGAATGAATAAATGAATGAATGAATGAATGAATGAATGAATGAATGAATGAATGACCTCCAAGTTTCCTTCCAACTTCCAAGTTATTCTGACTTCAGTGTCTCCTTCCCACCCCCACCCCCCAAAAAAGCTCCAGTTTCCTGACTCCACTCCCCAGGTGCTGCACACAAGGCAGCCTTTCTCTCCAAACTGACACCCACCACCGGCCCCCTCAATCACTTCAGACCCCACAACCCTCCAAAAGAAGAGAGGTTTCTACGGGAGCGGTCTTGGTGATCTCTGGGGACCCCTTTCTGCTTCCCTTGTCGGCTCTGAAACTGACGTTTCTGCCAGCGATCGAACCCGAGTGCGGAATTGACCCTTCCCTGCGTTCACACGGGACCCGGAACCTGAAAGAAACCCTGGCTTGGGTCGACGTCGACCCCACAACAGGCTCCACCGCGAGAGCCCGAATCGGGGGAAGAGAAATGAAATTCAGCCGGGGATGGCGATGGGGCCGCCTCTGCTCCGGCGGGTTGGGGAAACGAAGGGCGGGGGTCTCTTTCCTCCCACAACAAGAAACAGGGTTGATGCCCCCCGCACGAGAAGGACACCCAGCGTTCGCTCCAGTCCCCTTCCCCATCATCCCCAGCCATCTCTTCAGGAAGGGGGTGATGGGAGTTGGAATTCCACACGGGGTGCCCAGCTGCCAATCATCTCTTTTTTCCCGGTTGGCATTCCTGCTACTCCCGCTCAACTAAGAATGAGCGCGGGAGGCTGGGTGGTCCGCTTTCCATCGCCCGAAGCGAGATTCTCCTGGGCCCTTCGGACCCTCGGCCTCTGCGCCCCACGTAGCGCCCGAAATTCTCCAGGTGCAAAAAAAGGGGCCCGGGGGCTCCAGCGCCGGCGTGAAGGCAGAGAGAAGAAGAGAGGAGCAGAAGGAAGAAGAGAAAAAGAGAGATAGAAAAGAGAAGCAGAGAAGCAGAGAAAAAGAGAGGGAAAAAGAAAAGCAGAGGGAGGAAGAGAAAAAGAGAAAAAAGCAGAGGGAAGAAGAGAGAAGGGAGAAGAGAGAAGAGAAAAAGAGAGGGAGAAAGAGAAAGAGAAAGAAAAGCAGAGGGAGGAGAGAAGAGAGAAGAGAAAAAGAGAGATAGAAAAGAGAAGAAGAGAAGCAGAGAAAAAGAGAGGGGAAAAGAAAAGCAGAGGGAGGAAGAGAAAAGGGAGAAGCAGTGAGAAGAAGAAAGCAAGAGAGAAAATGAAAAGCAGAGAGAAGAAGAGAAAAAGAGAAAAAGAAAAGCAGAGGGAAGAAGAGAGAAGGGAGAAGAGAGAAGAGAAAAAGAGAGGGAGAAAGAGAAAGAAAAGCAGAGGGAGGAGAGAAGAGAGAAGAGAAAAAGAGAGGGAGAAAGAGAAAGAGAAGCAGAGGGAGGAAGAGAGAAGAGCGAAGCAGAGAGGAGCAGAAAGAAGCAGAGGGAAGAAGAGAAGAAGAGCGAAGCACAGAGAAGAAAGAGAAAGAGAAGAAGAGAGAAGAAGAGAGGAGCAGAGGGAAGAAGAGAAAAAGAGAGAGAGAAAAGAGAAAAAGAGAGGAGCAGAAAGAAGCAGAGAGAAGAAGAGAGAAGAAGAGAAAAAGAGAGAGAAAAAGAAAAGTAGAGGGAGGAAGACAGAAGAGAGAAACAGAGAGGAGAAGAAGGAAGAAGAGAAGAAGAGAGAAAAAAGAGAAGAGAGAAGAAGAGAGAAGAGAAGAATTCGGGTCCCAGTGCCCGGACGGATGTCCTCCAGGGTCCCCAAGGGCTACCCGCCCGCCTTCTCAATCCCAAAGACAGACCTGCCGCCGTTGCTCTCGCCGCTGCTGGGTCCTCGGGCTGCTATTTTGTCGGCTCCGTTGGGGAAGGTACTCGGGTATTCTCGGGAGGTGGGGGGGGGGTGGAGCTCAGCGGGGGAGGGGATGTGCCAGCCGGCCTCTGAGCATGGGCAGAGCGCCTCTGAGCTTCGCAAGGAGAGGGGCGCGTTCTGCACCTAAAGGACTCTGCAGGAAAGGGATCCGGAGACGCGGCGCCTCTGAGAGCGTGCAGAGGGCGAAAAGACGGGGTCCCTTGAGTGGTGGTGGGGGATCTTAAAAGGCAGAAGTTCTCCGCTTCGATGTTTTCAGCACCAGTTCTAAGGCTGGATTCTCATCCTCGGTTTGTCCTCCTTTACCTTCAATCTTAACCCCCGCCTTTCACTGCGTTGTTCCGCCGTTTGTTTCACCAAAGCTTGCAGATCCTGTGCCTGTTTGGCTTATCAGTGTGATGACATCAGCCCAATGCAGGTGATTGAAGTTTGTTCCTAAAACCAGGCTTGCCTTCCTCTAATCCCTCAATCCCTCAAAATATATTCAGCATAGAAGCGGAATAAATGCAAGGAGGAGATGACATCTTGCGGTGTTCCTTTGCTAGCCTGGGGCCTGCCTGTTTTGTTCTGTTCTGTATATTGTCTGACTTCCTGATCTGTTGAAGAGGTTTTGCATGCAGAAAATGAAGTCTTTTGAGATCTCATCTTTCTTAGCGCCTTCAAAAATTGGATGCCATCATAAATCATCAACAAAGTGTTGGTGGTTGGTGACTCACTACTCAAAGGAAGAGAGTCAACAATTTGCAGACCTGGCAGTTCCTTAAGAGAAGAGTATTGTCGCCCAGGTGCAAAGATAAAGATGTGACAAAAAGGCTCACTGGAATAGCCAAGCTAACCAATTATTATCCTTTTCTCTTCTTTCATGTTGTCATGAATGATGCCATTAAAAACCTAAAATCCCCATCAAATGGACTAGGAACAACTAGGCAGAAAAATCAAAGGATTTGGGTGCTTAAGGTTGTTTTTCTCATCTGCATCCCAGTGCTAGGACAATGACCCAATGAGGGAACAAAGGATATTGCTGGCTCAAAGAACGGTGACATCATGAGAACTTGGCTTTCTGGATTATGGATTACACTACCTAGCAAAAGATGGATTGCAATTCATGAAGACCAGCAAGAATGTATTTGGAAAACAACTAGCTCTGATCATCCGAAGGGTTTAAATCAGGGGTGAAATGTAAAATTTGTTACTACTGGTTCTGTGGGCGTGGCTTGGGGGGGGGTAATGTAACTGGGTGGGCATGGCCAACTTTTTTTTTTTTTTAAACTTTTCAAAGCATTAGAAAAAATGCCTCTGCCGATCAGGCAACTCAGCTGGGATCGTCAGAGAGGCTTTTAAAAAGATGCCTCTCTGCTGATCAGGCAACTCAGCTGGGATCGTCAGAGACTTTTCAAAGCATTTTTTTTACCACCTCTTCGGCCAAGAGGTTGCAGAAAAAAAATGCTTTGAAAAGCCTCTGATGATCCCAGCTGAGCCGTGCGATCATCAGAGGCTTTTTTAAAAAAAACTTTTAAAAGCATTTTTTCGTCGGAAGAGGTTGTAGAAAAAATGCTTTTAAAAGTAAAAAAAAAAAGCCTCTGATGATTGTGCAGCTCAGCTGGGCATGGTGGGGGTGGGGTGGGCATAGGGATTTTTGCTACCGGTTCTCCGAACCACCCACCGCCATCGCTACTGGATCAGGCGATCCGGTCCGAACCGGGAGCATTTCACCCCTGATTTAAATTAAAACTGGAGGGGAGGGAGATCAATATATGGGACCAAACCTAAAACATGAAGAACAAATTCCTGCAACCATTGTTTGTATGTTTTAACTTCCAGTCCCCTAATCATCTTGTTGCTCTTCTCTGCACTCTCAACATCTCAACATCTTTTTTATATATTGTGGCAACCAAAACTGAATGCAGTAATTCCAAGTGTGGCCTTACCAAGGCATTATAAAGTAGTAGTAACACTTCATGTGATCTTGATTCTATCCCTCTCTTAATGCAGAAAAAGAGAGAGAAAAAGAAAAGCAGAGGGAGGAAGAGAGAAGGGAGAAGCAGAGAGAAGAAGAAAGAAAAAGAGAGAAAAAGAAAAGCAGAGGGAAGAAGAGAAGGAGAGAAGAAGAGAGAAGAAGAGAAAAAGAGAGAGAAAAAGAAAAGCAGAGGGAGGAAGAGAGAAGGGAGAAGCAGAGAGAAAAAGAGAAAAAGAAAAGCAGAGGGAAGAAGAGAAGAGAGAAGAGAAAAAGAGAGGGAGAAAGAGAAAGAAAAGCAGAGGGAGAAAGAAAGAAGAGCGAAGCAGAGAGAAGAAGAAAGAGAAAGAGAAGAAGAGAAGAAGAGAGAAGAGAAGCACAGAGAAGAGTGCTGTGGGGATGTCTTGGTGGGCGTGGCAGGGGAAGGATACTGCAAAATCTCCATTCCCACCCCATTCCAGGGGAAGGACACTGCAAAATCCCCATTTCCTTCCCACTCTGGGACCAGGCAGAGTTGGTATTTGCCGGTTCTCTGAACTGCTCAAAATTTCCACTACCGGTTCTCCAGAACCTGTCAGAACCTGCTGGATTTCACCCCTGTATCTACTCCCTCATCTAAATCATTGATGAAGACATTGAAGAGTACTGGGCCTAAGACAGAGCCTTGGAGTACTCCCTGCATACTTCCCTCCATGTAGATGCAGTTCTATTAAGGACTACACAGTGAGTGTGGTTAGGTCAGCCAGTTACAAATCCATATGGTAGTGATGCTGTCTCACCTGTATTTTTCTCTCTTTATCAAATAGTAGGTTGTGATCTACTTTATCAAATGCCTTACTGAAGACCAAGTAAATTATATCCACTGTCACGTTCCGTAGTTCAGCATCAAGAAACCTCAGACAACACAGTTCAGTTTGAAGCATTTGCCCTTGAAAGTGTGAAACGCAGCGTGAAGTGACCAACAAGCAAAGTGACCAACAAGCAAAGTGACCAACACGCAAAGAAGCAAAACAAAGTCAGCGCTAACTGAGGTTTATCCCTTCACCCTTAAGTATGTGCATCTACCCTACACCCTGGCATCCCAACCCGCTGGCATCTGCCCACATTTAGTCCAGCAGAATCTTCGCATGTGCACCCGTCCCCCACCCCTCCAGCTTCCTATTGCCGATGCTCAGCTGTTTCAGCCTGGTCTGGTCTCTGCTTCTCAGCTGACGGCAGGTCCGGAGGCATTCCTGGCAGCTCACAGCCCAGTGGAGTATTCACCCAGTGCTCGGCCATTCCACTCCTCAGCTGATGGCTCACATGGTGATGGTGGATCTTCCCCTCCCTGAATGGCAGCCCAGGGATGGCTTGCTCTGGCTTGCCATTTCGGGGCGACATCCACATAGGGAACAAGCAGGGAAAGCTTGAAATCCTAATATGTGAGGGCTCGTTTGATATTGTAGCCATTACAGAAACTTGGTGGGATGGAACCTATGATTGGGACCAATCCAGGGGTTAAAATGCTCCCGCATCGGACTGGATCGCGTGATCCGGTAGCGATTTTTCCCTGTGGTTCGGCGATCCGGTAGCGATCACCACCCGGGTGTCATTACTTCCTGCTTCAAAAGAAGCAGAACCAAGGAAACAGGGCAGGGTAGCATTTTAAGTAAGAAATTACTACATTTCCACAGAAGTACACAATACTAGAGGTGAAAGCATTGTTGAAAGTACCTGGGTAAATATTCGAGGAAAACAAAATGACTTTGCTACAGGTACGTACTACAGGCTATCCAACCAACCAGAGGAAATGGATGAACTCTTTGCTGATCAAGGTGTGCAGTTAAGACACCTGGTCAAGCACAGGAAACCAGAAATCCAGGCAGTTCACATGAATATAAGTTTGTTGTAAGCTAATGCAAGGATCTGAACTATAATGGTCAAAGCAAATTAGCAGCAGATAAAAATCAATGGAATTCAAGGCGGGTTGGATCTCTTGTGGACGCAAAAGGATTTGACCCCCTCCCTCAGACTCAACCTGATCATCTCCTACACCCCACTGTAGTCCATGTCTCCCTCCCTCCCTCCCTGGTGGCGCAGTGTTTAGAATGCAGTATTTCAGGCTAACTCATTGCTCAATGCCAGGAGTTTGATCCTGACAGGCTGAAGTTTGATTCAGCCTTCCATCCTTCCTTCCAAGGTGGGTAAAATGAGGACCCAGATTGTTGGGGGCAATAGGCTGACTCTATAAACCACTTAGAGAGGGCTGTGAAAGCACTATGAAGCGGTATATAAGTCTAAGTGCTATTGCTTGTGAAGGGAAGGAAAGGAAGGAAGGAAGGAAGGAAGGAAGGAAGGAAGGAAGGAAGGAAGGAAGGAAGGAAGGAAGGGCCGTGATGGCATAGTGGTTAGAATGCAGTATTGCAGGCTATTTCTGACTGCTGGCTGCCTGCAATTTGGCAGTTTGAATCTCACCAGGCTCAAGGTTGACTCAGCCTTCCATGTTTCCAAGGTGGGTAAAATGAGGCCCGAGATTGTTGGGGACAATATGCTGACTCTGTAAACCCTTTAGAGAGGGCTGTAAAGCACTGTGAAGCGGTATATAAGTCTATTGCTATTGTGAAGCTGGCCCAGGAATTGCCTGTGGCAACAGCTCATGGGATAGAGATAATCCTCCATTTACAACCTTTTGTTTAGTGACCATTCGAAGTTACAATGGTATTGAGAAAAGTGGCTTATGACTATTTTCCACAACATTCCCATGGTCACATGATCAGAATTGGCGGCTTGGCAACTGACATGTACCTATTCAGGTTGCAGCGTCCTGGCGGGAAAGCCAGTTTCCCTTAACAACAGGGTTACTAACTGCAATGATTCACTTAACTGTGGTTGCAAAATGGGGCAAAACTCACGTAGCTGTCTCACTTAGCAGCGGAAATGTTGCGCTCAATTGTGGTTGCAAGTCAAGGACTCCCTGTCCTTCAATGGAGAGAAAAGTCAAGTCTTACACTTTGGCAGGAAAAACCAAAAGTACACTTATAGACTGGGTGAAGCCAGGCTTAATAGCAGTAGTAACTGTGAGGGGGATCTTGGAGTCTTAGTGGAAAACCAGATAAATATGAGCAAACAGTGTGCAGCGGCAGCCAAAAAAGCCAATGAAACGCTAAACTTCCAAGAAGTTTCTTCAGCTCTGACTGGATGGTGAAGGAATGGAATTTATTTTTTTTTATTTTTTTTTTTATTTGATTTATATGCCGCCCTTCTCCGGAGACTCAGGGCGGCTTACAATGCGTTAAGCAATAGCCTTCATACTTTTGTATATTTATACAAAGTCAGCTTATTGCCCCCACAATCTGAGTCCTCATTTCACCTACCTTTGAAAGGATGGAAGGCTGAGTCAACCTTGAGCCTGGTGAGATTTGAACTTGCAGTAATTGCAGGCAGCAGATGTTAATAACAGTGCTTAGTCCACTGTACTACAGGCTCTTGCAGGTTGTTAAGGTCACCTGAAGGCTTATCTGTATCATCAGGATCACCTGAATGGTGCAAATTGATATGGAGCCGCCTTGTTTCAACTTTCAACAGTTCCAAGAAGGCTCCACACCAATTTCTACCACTCAGGTGACCCTGATGACACAGATAAAACCTTCAAGTGGCCTCAAGGACTCTCTAAAAAGGATGCAAATGACCAGCTGTCTGCAAGGAGTATAAATCCTTCCATTCCCCACCATCCAGTCAGAGCTGAAGAAGCTTCTTGGAGGAGAAGGGAAATGTCTTCAAAGAAAAACCAGAAATTTGTGGGATGGAATAAAGTCGATAAAGTCACAAGCGTGGTAGAGTGGCTGATGATTTTTGCATTGCTCCAATCGAACTAGATGAGGGGATTGAGGGGTACTCCTCATATTTATGGATGATCCCAAAATGGGAATTGCTAACACTTTTGGAAGATAGATTCAAAATCCAGAAGAAACTTGACAGACTTGAGTATTGGGCCCTCTTCAAAAAGATGCAGTTCAGTGGTAAGAAAAGGAAGGTCCTGCACTTTTCCCTTCCCCAGTTTTTCTTTCCCTTCCCCAGGCACTGGAGACATCACAGGAGGTGGAAAGTGCCAGATACACAATAGGCAAAATGGGACTGTAAGAGGGATCTAGGTACCTCATTAAAGTATGAGTCAGCAATGTGCTACAGCTGCCAAAAAAGTCAGTGCAATCCTAGGTGGCATCAACAGAGGGATAGGATCAAGATCACGACAAGTGATAGCATCACTCTATATTACACATGTGAGGCCACACCTGGACTTAAATGTTAATTTGTATTCAGAGGCCTCAAAGAGCTCTTTCAACTTGTGTGCAGCGGCAGCCAAAAAAAGCCAATGCAATCCTAAACTGCATTAACAGAGGGATACAATCAAGATCAAGGGAGGTACTAATACCACTCTATAAAGACTTAGTAAGACCACACCTACAGTCCTGCATCCAGTTTTGGTCACCACACTATAAAAAAGATACTGAGACTCTGGAAAGAGTGAAGAGGAAAGCAACCAGGATGATTATGGGACTGGAGACTAAAACACATGAAGAACTGTTGTAGGAACTGGGCATGGCTAGTCTAGGGAAGAGAAGGACCAGGGGAGACATGATAGCAGTCTTCCAATACTTGAGGGGCTGCCACAGAGAGGAGGAAGGGGATCAAGCTATTTTCTAAGGCAGCCGAAGGCCAGACAAGGAATAATGTATGAAAACTGACCAAGGAGAGATTCAACCTGGAAATAAGGAGAAGTTTTCTGACAGTGAGAACAATCAACCAATGGAACAGAAGTTGCCTTCGGAAGTTGTGGGAGCTTCATCTCTGGAGGCTTTCAAGAAGAGACTGGACTGCCATTTGTCAGAAATGGTGTAGGGTCTCCTGCTTGGGCAGGGGGTTGGACTAGATGACCTACAAGGTCCCTTCCAACTCTGTTAACCTAAATCTTAAAAAGATCTCTATCTCAGTCAATTAATTAAGTGGGTGCTGGAAACAGAGAATGCTCTCACATTTCTATCACTGTTAACGAGTTTGTTTTGCAAAAGCTTAAAAAAGAAACTTGGGTGTGGAAGTTGTAAAAATGAGAAGCTGGGCGTGGAACATTTCCCGAGGATTAAATGAGCTTCAGTTTAACTACTTTGCAAAACTGACACCTATCTGGATCTGGAATGATAGGATCTTCTGCTTGAGCAGGGAGTTAGACTAGAAGACTTCCAGCTCTGTTATTCTGTATTCTGCAATATCAAGCTTACTCCTCTAACTTTGAGACAGAGCTCATATGGAGAGATTCTCATGCGATGAGCTTCAGAAGAAAATACCAAAATTGCCTGGAGTGATCTGGCAAAAGGGGTCCTGTAAAAGCAGCTTCGGTTGTCTCCTGATGTTCAACAGCTGGTCTTCTCCTCTTTCCCATCCCCAGTCACTGGAGACATTACAGAAGGTGGAAGGTGCCAATTGTCGGGATCATAATTGGTGGACTTGATTATTTTAGTGAGCTTCACACTTTTAATCTTTGCCTTCTGGGAGACAGCACGCTTACCGTTAGGAATTGTGCGATCCACAAATTGTTCATTGTTCCTCTGATTAGTGAAACACCGATCATCAACCCAACACGATTGGGGGTGATTATGTTGATTGCTTGTAATTGTGGGATGTGCTTAGAAAGATGGGAATCTCAGAACATCTCGTTCTCTGCATGCAAAACCTCTTTACAGATCAGGAAGTCTGCAATGTACAGAACAGGCCAAAACAAGCTGGCTCCAGGCTAACAAAGTGTGCCACAAAGCTGCATTTCCTCCATTCCTCCATCGTATTTACGCTGAGTGTATATTGAGCGAAGGTGGATTGGAGGAAGAGGAGGCTGGTTTTAAAACGGAAGGAACAAACTTCCATCACCTGTATTATGCTCGTTTATATTTCTCCTTTGGGATCTTATGTCTCTTTCTAGCACTTTTGTTCAAACTGAATATTCCCTCTGCCTTACCCCTTCTGCTGAGTTGTTTGAATACCCATCCATAATCTTTTCATTATTTTGGGGAGATTGTTCTTTTTATTGTCTGCTCTATCATCAACTCTTAAAGAATTATCTAGTTGGTTCATAGTACATATTGTTACTATCTCTTCAATGTCTTCAATGTCTTTCTCTTCTTGCAACTTATTTTGATTTGTCTCCTCCACCGCTCCTTCTAGATGTTTGCAGTGCTGCTGCTTAGGAAAGCTGGCAGGATTTAGCTAGAAGACATCTTTAAGAGAGCCTCCTTGAGTGGAAGAAGACTACCTACTAGGCAAGCAGAGGGAAAGATGGGGGGTGAGCAGTGACCAGGGGCTCAGCTTCCTATTTGGCTTTCGTGTGACCACTCATGCCTTTAAGCCAAAAG